GCTGCATTTGCCCGTCTGCTTGGCTGTCTGATTGCCTGTCTGTCTGTCTGTCTTGGTCTGTCGGCCTTAACTTTTCTGTGAGTGTATTTCAACTACCAGCTATGGTTTCATTCAATGACATAAAATATTGCTGAGCTTTCTCCTTCCTCCTTCCTCTTAAAGGAACAGTCAACTTCTAGCATTCACGTGGTTCGAATTCAAATTCAAATTCATGTATTCACGTGGTGTGCGTTTGCCGAATGTTGAGTAGGTCAATAGTTGTTGTTTTCCTCCTGTAGGTGGCGGTGACGGAGGAGCAGGAGGAGGAGATGGGGAAACACATTGTGGAGGATAAGCACGTGAACGTCGAAGGAACGAAGATCACCGTGCCTCGCAAGCTCGTCGATCAGTACGTATCCAGAATTCTGTAACCGAATTAATTACCATTAATGACCTGAAATGCCACACATGTAGGTTATGATGGTGGAGAAGCAGTGGAGATATGATTACCTCAAACACCGTACACGTAGGTTATGGTAGCCTGAGAGCCAGTGGCCGCCTTGGGGCATGGCAGGAGGAGATGAGAAAGAGGGAGAGATATATGTATATATATAGAGAGAGAGCGAGAGAGAGTGAGGGAGAGAGAGAGAGTGGGAGAGCGAGAAAGAGAGAGAGAGAGCGAGAGAGAGCGAGAGAGAGAGAGAGAGAGAGACATCTGACAGTATTTGGCCTGCTCTCAGTAGCCACAATTTCCACTGATTAGTTAGGTTGCGGCTAATAATATATTATAAACTAAAAAAATACAATATAATAAAAAAGTAATACAATACTAAAATAATATACTAAATAAACACGTAAATATAATAAAATGCGCAATAAACATTAAACGATAATCTGTTTTTCTGCATTTTGCTCCTAACTACGACATCGTTTCTCATCTCCTGCGTCTTGCAGCGTCGACCGTGTGCGCATGGAAGCCCTCAAGCTGAAGATACCGAAGCAGCTGATGAAGCAGGATCGCAGCAAGCGGCGACGCCCCGGCACCATCGTCCACTGCGACTACCTGCGCAAACCGAAGCAGTCGGCTAACAGGTAGGGTGCCGATGTGTGGTCGCCGTGTGCTGTTGCTGCCACTTATTACTTATTCTAGCCACTACTGATGCTACCATTAACATAGAGAGAGAGATGGAGGGAGGGAGGGAGGAAGGGAGGGAGGGAGAGAGAGAGAGAGAGAGGTATAGACAACATGTGTTTGTGGTGTTGTTGTTGAGTGAGAATCGACCATGCGTTGCTACTGCACTGTTATTTGGATTCACACCAACAGTATACACCATTCATAATATGGGGAAAATTTGAGATAGCTGGTAGCAACAGGTTTAATCTTGGTCTTAAGAAAAACGTAAAACGTGAAAATCTCTGCAAATGTTTTTGCAATCACTCTGGTGAATATTACAAACCAGGTTTAACTGTCAGTCGCATTCACCATCCCACGTAAAAATAATCAACGGTCGTTCAAAAATCGACGATTCCGACCAAGCGAAATCTGTGAAGCGACTGTTAATCGGTGAATTTACCCTCCGCATAAAAATAACCGACGTTCGATCAAATGATCCGAACCCGAACGAATCGCCGCCGACCATCGATAATTTCCGTTTGTGGCCACCAGGCGGCGCACGGACCCGATGGTGACGATGTGCAGCATGTTTGAGGGCATCCTGAGCGAGATCCGCGAGCTGCCGGACACGGCTCCCTTCCTGTACGCTGTCAACGGCAAGGCCGTGCCCGACTACTACATCATCATCGAGACACCGATGGATGTACAGGCCATCCGCGAGAATGTCAGGTGAGAGCGCGCGACGCGGCGCCCCCTACATGCATGTGCAGCGCCCCCTACATGCATGTGCAGCGCCCCCTACAGGCGGGCACGCCGCGTCTCGTCTCGTCTCGAGGTCAGATTGCAGGACGGTGGCGTGTTGTCACATTTGTCATTGTTGTTTGTGCTAGTTTAGCTTAGTTTGTGCTACCTTACTTGAGGAGTGTGTTGGTAACTGCTGTGGAAGATTGTAGCAATCATTCACACAGAGACTGACGACAGGTCCTATATAACTATAGCTATAGATCTGAATGTAGCTAAACCATGAGAATGTCCTTCGACTAAATTAGAATGTTAATGTTCAGCTAAAACTTGCTCTCTTTAGAGGAAAGTATGTTTGCTTTCGGCTAAAATACATTATCTTTTGAGTCGAATATGTTTGGTTTTGGCTAAAATATGTTTGCTTTTGAGTAAAATATGACATTATCTTGCAATTACAATGCAACGTTCTCTCCTCACGCACGCGGCAGGAAGAAGAAATATCAGTCGAGGGAGGACTTCCTCGGTGATATCAACCAGATCGTGACGAACAGCATTCTCTACAACGGTGCCAACCACATGCTCACCAAGGTTGCTCAGGTACGCGCGTTTGTATGAGTTCGTGTTCGAGCTCTGCGCTCATCTATGAAGCTGTCTTTTGTTTCTGTGCTGTAATGTGTGATTCTGCGTCTATGATTAATTATATTGTCATGATCTCACAGTGGCGTGGAAAACACTAAAGCAAGTTGGTATGACATTAATATATAACATATCACGTTGTCTCTCTTTATCTCACACACACAAACTCTCCCCCCCCCCCTCGCGCTCCCTCTCTCTCTCTGTTTCTTTCTCTCTTTTTCTCTCGCTCTCTCGTGCTTTCTCTTTCTTCCCTCTCTCTCTCTCTCCGTGGAGATTGGCAACCTCACGCTGTGGAGAGAGCTCTCGATCGTCCTCTCTCATCCCCCCACCCCCCCCCCCCCCCCCGCCCCCCCGCCCGCCCCCCCCCCCCCCCCCCCCCCCGCCCCCCCCCCCCTAGCTGCCCCCCCCCCCCCCCCCCCCCCCCCCCCCGCCCCGCCCCCCCGCCCCCCCCCCGCGCCCCGGCCCCCCCCCCCCCCCCCCCCCACGCCCCCCCGCCCCCGCCGCCCCCCCCCGCCCCCCCCCCCCCACCCCCCCCCGCCCCCCCCCCCGCCGCCCCCCCCGCCCCGCCGCGCCCTCGACGTCCACAAAGCGACTCTCCTTCCCTGGACTTCCCATCCTCCTGCACAGATGTTCGATCAGCATCATCCACCGTGGAGAAGCTACAGTCACCGTCAGCTGTGCACGGAGTGTGCTACGATGATTCAGATGTAGGACAGAGAGAGAAAGAGCGCCACCGAGAGAAAGGGAGGAAGAGAGAGAGGAAAGCAAGAGAGAGAAAAGATGAAAGAGGGAGAAAAGAGAGAGGAGAGAGAAAGAAGGAAAAGAGACAGAAGATGAGAGAGAGAGAGAAGAGAGAGAAGAGAGAAAAGAAGGAAAGAAGAAACCAGAGAGAAAGAGAGAGAGAGAAAGCAACGAGAGAGAGAGAGAGAGAGAGAAGAACAGCAAAGAGAGAGAGAGAGAGAGGAGAGAGAGAGAGAGAGAAAAAGAGAGAAATAAGAAGAGCGGATAGAGAGAGAGAGGGACGAGAGAAAAGTAACAGGGAGAGAGGAGAGAGAGAGAAAGAGGAAAAAGAGGAGAAAGCTCAATAAAATCAAAAGGCAGCATGAGATATTCAACTGCAACACATGATAAGCACATAGGATAACGTGATCATGCACATAGCATAACCAGAAGCTTCGCCGGACCCTTTCGACCCTCTCCTGCGGTTTTTTGCTTCTCCTTCTCTCTTTCCATCTGTGACCTAGCGTGTCTTTGGCAACGTAATCCATGTCCCACACTCTCTTCCAGCACTGCAGGACATATACAGGTTGCAAATTAAAGACATAGCTCTGACATCCTTGGCTCACGCATTGATTTGTCTAAGCTAGTGATAGGCTAGCTTTGACCCAGGGCTATATATAATGCCCATTTTCGTGATTTATTTAGAATAAAATAATTAATTACAGTTGTAAATTAATATTAATTAGTGTAGGGCTATCACCAGCTGCTGACATTCCTTTTCACTTGATTTGTGTAAATCTATAATATACGTTCTAACCATGGAGCCGTCCATTTTCGGTGATTAATCCAGACATAAAATAAATTAATTATCATAATAAGTTGTCAATATAGTTTAATGCATAATTTTAAATGGTTATCTGAAAATAAAATAATTAATTAATAGTGTAAACTAATACTATACTTCTTCAATGTCTATTTCGTAATGGCATCAGAAGTAAAATGCTTCAATGTTGTTATTATAAGCTGAATCGTAGTAGTTTAACACCCATCCTATCGCGATAAACGAAAGACCATGTCAAAATAACTTCAATTCGGACTAACAACTTTGCAGCTGCACAGAACGCTATCATATGGGACGGCAAGCTACCGTAGAGGCTACGGTGGCAGGACGCCGCGCCGGCCAGCGGCCGTGGGCCACTCTGCATGGATCCGGCCCAGCGGCCGGTCCGGCACCGCGGGCCCCCGACAGAAGAACTAACCGCAGATGCAGCAAATTCTCCTAAAAAACCCAGAACGACACTTCACCAACTATGCAGTATAATATATAATATATGCAGACTAGTAGGCAGTAATATTAGAGATGCTTAGCAGGCACAGCCCACGCAGCCCGTACTCCCTTGCTGCTTAGACTTGCCGCGCGCCAGGTGCAACCGAGCCGGCACGCTCACTCATGAGGCTGCCCTCATCGTGCTAAGCGACGTCCCCGTGACGACGAAATCCGTCTCGCCATCTCCAGCGCCTTCTCCTGCGGTCGCGAGGATGGTCTCCGGCTCCAGCTGCGCGACTAGCACTGCTCCGCGCCTCCGTGGAGCTCGCCCAAAGCCAGAGCTCGAACAGAAGCACCGGCTCCAACCGACTCCATTATCCTCTCGGCCGTGTGTCCAAGGTGTCAGCTTAAGCTAACGGATCGAGAGGGGGTTGTTCGCGGGCTCTTCTCTCCCGCTCTACGCACCTCCCCCCCACGCTCCCGCACCCGGCGACGTGCGTCCCACCGCCCCCACGTTTACAAACGCAAACTGGCCGTTTTACAACGCGTCTAACGACAGGCCGGCGTCGATGAGATATGTCGATATACAGCTACGTGACAGCACGGCGACGCAAACCTTTACTCAGAGTTTATCGTGAGTGCACCACCGGACACCAACACTGTGACAGCACGCCACGCAAGAAAGCGCACCACGGGACACACACTGTGACACACGCCACGCATGCACCGCACCGGACACAGCCGCTCGGCACTGTGACACACGCACAGCACGCGACTGCAAGGACCACACACACCGGCATGCAACGCACCGCCACGGGCCACGCGACGCAGGCAGCGGCGCGCGGCCTGACGTACGCATCGGCACCGGACACATGCACGCACCACACACAACACATGTCCGCGCGCAGCACTACACCCACACACACGGCCTCCTCAACACCACACACTACAAGCGCGGCGCCCCTCGGCCCACTACTGCACACGCACACGTCCACCACCCACGAGCACGCTCTCCGCTTCGCCGCACTCCTCCCCCGTCCCCACACCACACGCCCCCGCACTCCCCTCCGTCGCTCCCCCCACACACACGCACGCACCGTTCAGCAGGCTCCTGCCTTGGCTAGCCTCCACTGACCGTTGGCACCGATGGCGGTGAACGCGTGTTCGGCGCCGAGTTTGTATGCCGTCGACATTCCGCGTTGCGCTCGTTGATGCGTCACAATGAGCTGCGACGTCGGGGCTCATGGGCTAGTCCTCGCGCGTGCGGTACTTTGTGCTTCTTGCATGCTTCTGCTCGGACGAAGAAAACAAACAACAACAATGACTAGATGAAAGAACGACTCCGCCCGACGACTGCCCACCGATACATTGCGAATTGCCTTGGCTTCTGCTCCGACAAAAAATGAAACAACAACAACGAACAATAACAAACGGATGCAGCATGACGTCACACGACACCATGTTCATCTCGATTAAAAACAAAAAATTGTCACGCTTACAGAAATTGTAAATGCGGGCGAATCTAATTGCGAATCGGCGCGAACAATGCGTCAAAATCATGGCAATGAATAATGTGTGCATCCCCCCCCCCGAGCTCCTGGAATTGTTTCCGTCCGAATTCTTTCTATCCACGGCCAACAAGGGAACGCGATTAAGTTGCTTGGCAGCAGAGGCAGAGAATTCTCAATGTGGCACTTCTGAGAAGTGCTGGCCGAGAAACATTCTCCCAGATTTCGCCCACGGGTGAATTTCATTCGGCAGCTCAATTAATCGAAGTCTTTTCCCACACAATGTAACCAGAATCGAAACGGGGATAAGGTGGTTACCATCCTTGACGGTATTCGAGGTCCACTGTCGGTGTCTTTAAGCGAGTCGTGTAGTAGTCGCTTTATCAGTTTTCCTGTTGACAGGCCTTGTGGAACGGCCACATCGACTGAAACATCCATGTGAGAAAGTAATCTCCATTATTATTTATCATGCATTCACGTACATATACTCCATATTACTGTTAAAGAAATGGAATTTCACTAACATTTAATCCAAAATCGCGGCAAACAATACCATAGCGAGAGGATAAAATTTTACGGGCATAAGTCAAGCTTATATTTCTATTATAATCTCGATTTTATATCACTGCACATTAATTTGGCTGCACAACACGGAATGAAGAACAGACCTGACTGAGCACAGTCGAGAGACTGGCACACTGTATCAGGTTTGCTTACGTCTGGCACTTCGCGGTAGGAGGCTGGTCCTGGCGGTGACATTCGTCGAGGATCGAAGGAGAAGGCGACCTGGTCGTCAGTCATCAAGGAGAGGGTGAATGGCCGGCTTCTCAGCCCCGCCGCATGAGCTCTCCTCCTTCTGGCCCGCGAAACGTCCATCAGACAGAGAATCCATCATCGGACGCAGAAGGAACATTGAGTGTGAGAGAGTAAAGAGAGAAACGAGAAAGAGAAGAAAGAAATAGAGAGGGAGACAGAAGAAGATAGAGAAATACGAGCAGAGAGAGAGAGATGAGAGAAGTGAGAGAGAGGAGAGAGAGATGAGAGAGAGAGAGAGAGAGAGAGAGAGAAAGAGACAAGACGAGAAAGAAATAGAGAGGGAAGACAGAGAGATAGAGGAGATATGAGAGAGAGAGAGAGAGAGAGAGAGTGAGAGACGAGAGAGA